TTCGCTTTCTGACAAGCTATTAAAATTCAGAATTTAAATGTCGCTCTTGGCATGTAATTTGCTGTCATGAAACAACTATGGATTTATTTCCTGGCAAGACTTCCCTGATGTACTGAGCATGTCAAAAGCAAAAAGCAGAAAAGCAAAATTAAAAAGAAAATGTAGCACAGTGTCATAGTCCCTGAGAAGAATGAAAAGAAACCCACAAGCAAAATGGGATGGAACACAGACTCGTGTGGGTCACAGCACCGGCCAGCCGCACAGTCAGGCAACCCCGGAGGAGGTACCTGGGGCTGCAGCCACACGCGCATGCTCTTATTCTATGCTGGAAAATCAAGGCATCCCTTCCTGCCGTGGTCCCCACAAGCTCCACCCGGCCCTCAGAATGGCTCCTGGTGCTGTGGGGAGCACTTAGCACTACACTGACGCTAAGTGGTCTCTGGCTTTGCCTTCACTGGGTACTTCCAATGAGTGGGATCACTGCGTGTGCAGCCTTGGTGCGTATCTGGCTTCCTGTGCTCGGCCTGGCCAGCTTAGCTTTGCCGGCACCTCGGTGGAGTTTTCTTGTGTGCTCGGGACACGTTCTTCATTCACTTGGCGCATCCACCACCTGGTGGGCTTTCTGATTGCTTTCCTTATTCTGGCTTGTTTGGACAACGCTGTGAGGAAGGTATATGCACAGGCTCTGTGTGGACATGATTTGCTTTCCTGGGGATATCGAGGAGCAGAATACTGGGTCACCCTCTTATTTTCTGAAGGAGTTTGTTCCTGACAAGTTCAGTCATTTTGCTAGAATACATCTTGGCATTGATTATTCTGCTCAGTGTTCTCAAGTTCAGTGCATATTCATTGAATGTGTAATTTAAAGCATAACATAAAAGATATAGTTGTATCTTAAAAGCGTTTTGATTTACATTTGGTATTATTCGTTTGCTTGATTCAGTTATTTTTGAGCACCGTTTTCCACACACTATATTTTTTATCCTGTCCAGTATTTGTTACTTTCTCAAGCTCTTTTTATCATTTATTTTTAGTATCTCTACCTTCATTCCAGTTATCTATGATAAGGGCATTCTATTCCACCTCTTCCTTCCCATGGTGGCTTCCTGTGGGGTTCGAACTCAGTCATTTTTCATCACTTCTTTTTATGTGGTTTAGTTTTGCTGATAGTTTAGTGGAAGTTTAATTGTATTCTTTGCTGCTTTTGTGTAGTGCCAAGTTACATTTTTGTTATTTAAATAGATTTGACCTACTACGAGATAGTCTTTTGAATACATAATTTAGGATTTCAGTGTGTTCATAGGTTTCTTTGCTAATTCCAGAATATTTCTTGTCCTTGGAAAGAAACCTCGTGCCAGTAACTGTCTCTGGCCTCCAGCCCTTGGCTAACAATCTAGATGCCATTTCTATTAATTTACTACTTTGGTCATTTCTTCTAAATGGAACAATCTTCTGAGTTGCTGATTTCACTTGCCATAATGTTTTCAAGGTTCATTCATTCTGTAGCATGTTCTGTTAATGGCCAAATAATAATCCACTGTGTGGATAACTCATCTTTTATTTATCTAGTAGTCATCATGAACATCTGAGTTATTCCCACTTCTTAGGCTGTTGTGAATGTTACTGCAGACACTCATGAACAGCTGTATGACTAGTTCTCTGGGGTATACCTAGGAGAAGAATTTTGGGGTAATATAGTAGCCATCTACTTCAACTTTGAGGAAATGTAATGTGGTTTTCTGAAGTAGATATAACATTTTACATTCATATCATCAGTGCATGAGTTCTAATTTCTTCATTTTCTCACCAACATTTATTATTGTCAATCCTTTTGTAATAGCTATTCTAGAGCATATAATGTATAATCTCGAGAATCAAGACAAACAAAAGAAAAACTTATAGGCTACTCTTCTGTTTGATCAGTAACAATAAGAGCATAAAACACTAACTTCTACCCTTCCCAAGACAAGACATTTTCCCTCTGCCTCTGATGCTGTGCCATCGCATGACATTGTGACAGAGCCTTCCTCACTCTCCTAAAGCACTTCTAGAAGATTCCTTGAACAAAGATTTGCCCTGGTACATTTAGAATTTTTTTTCAGATTATTAACAACAGGGCAGAAATGTTTAAGGCAAGAGGGTGAGCACCTACGTTTGCATGTCGGCCAATCTGAAATGAAGAGAAAATTGTTTTGTAGTTAGAAAAGGAAATGTGACTAAGTTTTAAAGACTTGTCCCCAGCTCTTTGGAGTCTTGATACCAAAAATTGTATATGTTATGCTGTCTTCCTGGGGAACTGGATTCTCCACTCTGCATTCTGCATTCTGTACTCTCATTGTTAGCCTCTCTGTCTCTCTGTCTCTGTCTCTCCACACACACACACACACACACACACACACACACACACACACACACACACACTCCCTGGAGACCTTGTGATTTCTCAGCTGGTGCTCTGTCACTTGAGCTATACCGCCAGTCTAGCCTTTTGCTGGTTATTTTGATGAGGACCTTTTTTGCTTCCAACTGCTATTTGCAACCTTTGAGGTAGCTAGGGTTACAGGAATGAGCCACTAGTGCCTTACTCATTATCATCTCTCTCTTTAGCTCTTAAGAAGCAGAATAATAGACGTGAGCCACTAGTGCTCAACAATGAGTAAATTCTTACTCAAACAGCAAAGCACAAGAGAAGTGGGGTGTAGCAGAGTCTACATATCCAGGTTCCAGGAAGATGGATAAAGAAATGTGAGCTGCCGTGTCTCTGCAACCATGCTCTTCCTGGCTGGAGGTTTGCTCCTCTCATTAGACTGTGCTCCGTCTCTGACCCGCCTCCCACCTGTGCAACTCCATGCTACACCTCACACACCAGGGAGGAAGAGAAGATGCAGAGAATGAAACCACTGTCTTCTTCCAGGACGCAGTCAGAAAACACGGGAACCTTTAACTTACATGGAATAAGAAACATGGGGACAATGAACTCTTGTGCAGTCTCATCAACTTTGGGCAAACTAAAATGAGTGTTTGTGAATCACATTCTGGCTTTCCTAAGATGTGTGCGTGCGTGCGTGCGTGCGTGTGTGTGTGTGTGTGTGTGTGTGTGTGTGTGTGAACTTGGCCTGGATGCTGTCCCCTGAGCTTTTTTACTCTAGGCTATTGCTCTATCATTGAGCCACAGCTCCACTTTCAGCTTTTGGGTGGTTAAATGGATACTCTCACAGACTTCTGGTGGTCAGTTGGAGACTCACAGACTTTCCTGAGCTGGCTTTGAACCACATCTTCAGATCTCAGCCTCCTGAGTAGCTGGGATTACAGGCGTGAGCCACCGGTGTCTGGCTGCCTTCATATTTTTATAGATTCAAGAACTGTTGATCAAGTATTTACTATTCCTATGAGTAAGACTAGATGGCTTACCTCTGCATGCTTTTACTGGCTTCTCTGATGCAAATGAAATTTTTGCCTCTTAATTTTAAAGCATGGTTCTGGGTCGGCTTTACCCCTGTTTAAAACCTAACATGCTAAAAGCTTGGTTTAGGACATTATTTAGTGCTAATGGAAAGGCCTCGTTAGAAGGCAGTCTGCATCTGCTTTTGATCACCCCGGAGTGCGGCAGTCTTTGTCTAACAGAGCTTCATTCACATTCAGGAGAAATAGATGTATCGACAGAGGAAGAAATTCAGCTCTGTCAAAGCCTGGAAACTCACCAGATGGCACCAAAAATCCTGGCATTTTTGAAAGAAACAGGCAGGTGGGGGAGAAGAGGGCCATTTATGGCTGTACTGAATGTAATCTTGTCTTAAAGTCACTAAAAGCTATACAGGTCATAGAGACAATCAGGCTTTTATTCTTTGAAATAATTCACATTTAGGTTTGTGTATTACTTGCCTTATCAAATAAAAGCCTTTAGATTTGTGTGGGCAGATAATTACGAATTGATTTCTGGACCTCTCATTTTGGAAATGGCCTTTACTTTTCTCCTCTTCTTTCTCTCCCTCTTTCATCTATCCTCCAGTTAAACTTTCCTGTGATTTTGTAGCGTTTTGGTGGCAGTTGCTGGCCATATCAGTAAATGGCAGAGCTGTATGAAGAAGCCACTTTTATCTTGTCAGGAATTGAATTACAAAGTGTAAGAACATTGGTGCAGGCAGAGAATTTCTTTTAACACAGGCTTAGGCTTCTGAAGATGATTACAAACCAAAAGCAATAAGTCTGGTGGCCAGCGGCCGCGGTGCCGTTCGGCACCTGTCGCGTCTGCTCTAGGATTGTTTCTTGGCATAGAGCTCTATTCCCCTTGATACAGAGAATCTATATTTCAATACAAAAAGAAAACCCAGGTGAATAAACGCTCCTTGTGAAACATTGTAAACCAGCTAAGATAAACATTCTGTACTCAACATATTACTTCCCCAGAGCTAAAAACATTTGCAGTTTGGTATCATGTGTCTTTGCTCATCATGGGAAAAGTAGATGGTACTATAAAAATATCTAGACTACCCAAGCAGGAAATTGATTAGATATTTTTAAAAACATTTTAAAAGTTCTAAAGATGGAACAGGTTATTATGGGTTAATGTGTTTTCGATATTCTGAAATACCCTGTAAATGGAAGGTGTTATGCTATTACCAAATGGTGATAGTCTACAAAACTCCTCTGCATCATGGTTCCAAGCCTCTCCTCTCCCTACAACCAAATGCCTGTCCCTGGGTGTTGGAGCTGCTGCCGCTGCTGCCTCCTCCCCCTCCTCCCCCTCTTCCTCCCCCTCTCCCCTCCTCCCCCCCTCCTCTTCCTCCTCCTTCTTCTGTGCTAAGGATCAAACTCAGAGCCTTGCACTTGCTAAGCAAATGCTCTTCCACTAAGCTAACTTGCCAATCCCTCCTATTTTAAAGCTGATCAATTGCCACCATTTGTTAGAGAAAAATGTGAGCAAGATGGTAGAACAGGATTTTCCAGCATTAGGGGTGTCGATTGAAGGGCTGTCCACACAGGTTAATCTCGACTGTTGATTAGGCCTCGGAGGGGAGGGGCAGCATGACCACAGTGGCAAGTCCGTGGGGTTCCCACAGGCCCGGGGTCACGAGGCTCTGGGCCAGGCAGGTCACGTTCAATGTGTTGATGGATTCATAGTTTGAATAAAGATGGTTGGGGGCTGGTGAAACTGTGGAAGCTGGGTCCCACGCTGGGGAAGGAGGTCTTCTGGGGGTCCCACGCTGGGAAGGAGGTCTTCTGGGGGTCCCACGCTGGGGAAGGAGGTCTTCTGGGGGTCCCACGCTGGGAAGGAGGTCCTCTGGGGGTCCCATGCCCGGGAAGGAGGTCTTCTGGGGGTCCCACGCTGGGGAAGGAGGTCCTCTGGGGGTCCCACGCTGGGGAAGGAGGTCTTCTGGGGGTCCCACGCTGGGGAAGGAGGTCTTCTGGGGGTCCCACGCTGGGAAGGAGGTCTTCTGGGGGTCCCACGCTGGGGAAGGAGGTCCTCTGGGGATCCCACGCTGGGGAAGGAGGTCCTCTGGGGGTCCCACGCTGGGGAAGGAGGTCTTCTGGGGGTCCCACGCTGGGGAAGGAGGTCTTCTGGGGGTCCCACGCTGGGGAAGGAGGTCTTCTGGGGGTCCCACGCTGGGAAGGAGGTCCTCTGGGGGTCCCATGCCCGGGAAGGAGGTCTTCTGGGGGTCCCACGCTGGGGAAGGAGGTCCTCTGGGGGTCCCACGCTGGGGAAGGAGGTCCTCTGGGGGTCCCACGCTGGGGAAGGAGGTCCTCTGGGGGTCCCATGCCCGGGAAGGAGGTCTTCTGGGGGTCCCACGCTGGGGAAGGAGGTCTTCTGGGGTCCCACGCTGGGGAAGGAGGTCCTCTGGGGGTCCCACGCTGGGGAAGGAGGTCCTCTGGGGGTCCCACGCTGGGGAAGGAGGTCCTCTGGGGGTCCCACGCTGGGGAAGGAGGTCCTCTGGGGGTCCCACGCTGGGGAAGGAGGTCCTCTGGGGGTCCCACGCCCAGGAGGGAGGGCCTCTGGGGGTCCCACGCTGGGGAAGGAGGTCCTCTGGGGGTCCCACGCCCAGGAGGGAGGGCCTCTGGGGGTCCCACGCTGGGGAAGGAGGTCTTCTGGGGGTCCCACGCTGGGGAAGGAGGTCCTCTGGGCGTCAAAGCTCATCTGCCCCTCTTACCATTTTGCTGCCTCCTGACACCATGGGTATGCAGCCTCCCACACCCTCTCCACCCGAGGGACTGACACCCCGGAAACCACACAAGCAAAACAAATCTTCCCTCCTGTAGGTTGCTTCTGTCAGGTGTTTAATCACAGCAAGGAAAGCCTGACTACACAACTTTCATAACGCGGAGGAGACTGGACCAGAGATAGTAGTTTAGAGGCAGCACATGAACAAGACCAGCCGCCTTGAGGCGGGCAGGGAGGACAGGCTTGCTTGGCTCCGTCCCCCCTTCGGGCCTCAGCAGCGTGTTTGAAGACAGACATTGTACTCCAAGACTGGCTGCTCTCGGGTTCTGAGCTGTCCCAGGCTCCAGACAAACAGATCCAAGCATTCTCTGGAAGAGCTAGGTTCCAGAGGCCCACCCGAGTAGACATCCACAGACATCAACACAAGGCAAGAAAGATGGAAAACCAAGGAGACAGGTGACCAGAGAAAGAACATAATTCCTTGGTAGCTCACTCCAAAGAAATACAGATATATAAACTTCCTGACAAAGGACTTACACATAAATGTTTTAATTGTTCAGTGAATAGCAAGAAAATGTAAGAAACAACCCAGTGACGCAAGGAACATAAGAAATGACCAAAATGAGTGACACTGATCAAGATGTACTGTATTCATAAACTGCTTTGTCAAATGGCAAATCCTTTCTACAGCCACTTAAAGATAATAAAAATATCATTAAAAGATAATGACCAAAATGAGAAGTGCCACAAAGAGATTGAAATTATCTTAAAAATAATACCAAAATTCTGGAGTCCAGAAAAACGGTAAGTTAATTGTAAAATGAAGTCAATAACATCAACAGCAGTATTGATGAAGTTGAACAAAGAATCTGTGAGCTTGAATAGGGTTGTTTGAGAATTCAGAGAAGGAAAAAAGATGGCAAGAAGCTGTACCGGGTTTGTGGAACAGCATCTAAAAGTAAGCATGAAGGTATAGGAATCCCAGAAGAAGAAGGAAGGAAAGAAGACTGGGAGTGAGCAAGGGAAGGTGCAACACTCTCCACAAAGGAGCGTCCTCAACCCGACTTATGTAACTGTCACCCTTCTGTACATCATCTTCGTAATAACAGTGAAAAGGTAAAAAGAGTAAAAACAAGGTGAAAGCTAAATAAGGCTTCACTAAGACATATCAACCTATTAAAAAACAAAGTTAAAAAGGTTCCTGAAGGCAATAGGAAAAGAAGGAAATCACACATAATGGAGTTCTAATAAGAACAACAGTAGATTTTCCAGAAGAAACTTCTAGGTCATGGGGGAGTGGGATGGTATATTCAAAACTTGCCAACTGATAAAGGTTCTTCAGAAATAAATACAAATAGATTTTCTCTTTGGGTATAAAAGGCTAAGAGAATTCAATACTAGTCTATAACTATAGTACACAAAATGCTTAACAGAGCTTTAAGCCAAAAGAAAAGGATGCTGATTAGTAACACAGAAACCCGAAGTAATGACTAAAAGTAAATCATCAAGTTAATAATTCTCTAGCACTGCTATGTGTGTGAATCACTTACATCTTTAGTTTTAAGATTAAAAGACAAACTAGTAAAGTGATTATAGCTATAATTTTTTGAAGTCATACAACATCAAAATTCTTAAATGCAGGAGATGGTGGTGGGACTCAAGTGGTAGAGCTCTTGTCTAGCAAGTATAAGGCCCTGAGTTCAAATCCAAGTACTTCCCCCACCAAATTAAGTTAGGCTAGTTCAAAGACTTGAACAAGCTACTTCCCAATATAAAAAGCCAAAAGGATGATCTACTGCTACTGAAAACTTGGAGCCAAGGACTGGTGCCTCATGCTTAATCCAGCTGTTCAGGAGGCTGAGGTCTGAGGATCAGAGTTTGAAAACAGCCTAAGCAGCTAAAAAACTGGAGGCATAGCTCAAGTGGTAGAGCACCAGCGTGAGAAAAAGAACCTGATGGGAGTATGGGGCTGAGAGTTGAAGTCCTGTACACACAAAATTAAATATAGAGGGAGTAGAATGTGGAGGGGCAGCTGTTGCCAGCTTTAAATATCCTAATATAAGACATTTTTGTAAACATCATAGCAACAACAGAGCAAAAGTTGATAGTAGATAGACCAAAAAGTCAAGCTATTCATGAAAAATCACCTAATCACCAAAAAGAAAAAACAGAACAAAGGACCTCCAAAACAACTTACAAAATGGCAGCAGCAAGTCTTTACCTCTTGATGATTACCTTCAACTTAAATGAAATTAAATTTCCCAGTCAAAAGATATAGAGCAGCTGAATAGTCTTACACAAAAAAGCATTATACTGAGTATATGCTACCTGCAAGAGACAAACCTCACTCGTAAGTACATACATAGATGGAAAGTCAAGGAGCCAAGAAAAAATTCTGTGCAATTGAAGGCCATAGAGATCAAGAGTAGTCTAATTGTACCAGATAAATTAGACTTTAAGTCAACATCTGTAATTAGAGACAGAGGGACACAATCTAATGGCAACAACTGGGTCAACTCATCAAGAGAATACAGCAACTATGGACACACACGCACTGAACATGGAGACACCTGAATACAACAACTATACACACACACGCACTGAACACGGAGACACCTGAATACAACTATAGACACACACGCACTGAACACAGAGGCACCTGAATATGTAAAGCAAGGACCAGAGGGCCTGGAGGGGGACAGACAGAGACCGCAGCTGCAAGGCCATCAGTGCCCATCATACAGACAGAAGATCAATACAGAAATATTGACTTAGATTGCATTTTAGTCCAAAAGGACCGAACAGGTGTCTATAGGGTGTTTCATCCTTGAGCATTAATTTCAAGTGCACCGGGAACATTCTCCAGAGGAGGTCATATTTCAGAACTTGAAACCTTAAGTTAAAAAGTTGACAATATATCAGGGATCTTTCTGACCACAATGGTATGAAGGTAGAAATTAGCAATAAGAGGAGTTTTAGAAAACCTGACAATATAGGAGACTAAGCAACATGAGTCTGAACCAAAATGTCAAAGAAGAAATTAAAGAAAAATTTAAAGTATGTGACACAACTGAAAATGGGGACTTACAGGGGAGTTGGGGAGGGGAAGAGGGAGAAAATGGGGGGTGACACTGCTGGAAAAGAAATATACTCATTACCTGACTTCTGTAACTGTAACCCCTCTGTACATCACCGTTACAATAAAAACAAAAACCAACCAAAGCTCAAAGAATGTAATAAAGCAGTTCTGAGATGAAGATGTGATGAAGATCTGCATCAGAAAAGAAGAAAATCTCAAATACGCAACCAAATATTATACCTCAAAAAACTAAACCTGCAGAACAAGTCAGTCCCGCAGTTAGTAGAAGAAAGGAGATAAAGATAATCAGAACTGAGTGAGTGAGACAGGAACTAGAAAAACAGTAGAAAAGGCCAGCAAACCTAAGAGCTGAGGGACAAATGTAGTGTGTATGCCTGTAATCTCAAGTTATGTGGTAGGTAAAATGGAAGGATGACATTGGAGGCCATCCCCAAAATGTTAGTGAGACCCTATTTCAAAAAGCAAGCCAGGTTGGGTGACTCATGCTGGTAGTTTCAAACCGGTGGGGGTAGAGGTAGGAGGACTCTGGTCCAAAGCCAGCCCCAGCAGAAACACGAGGCCCTGGCTGAAATGTAACTAAAGCAAAAGGAATGAAGGCATGTCTCATTGGTGGAGTGCTTACTTAGAAAGCTGCGTCCCGAGTTAACGTGCACTGCAGAAACAGCCCCTGAACCAAGAGATGGCTTTAAAAAGATAAATAACACACACCTTTAGTTACACCAGCTGAGAAAAAAAGAGAAGACTCAAAAGTGTGACGAAAGAGGCTACATTATAGCCAGCAAAAGTCTACAGAAGATCACAGAACACTGCTATCAACAATAAACTAGGAAACCTAGAAGCCACCGGTAAATTCCTGGACACAAGTGGACGACCAGGATGGATCTGAAGAAACAAAATCTGAGTAGAAAGGCTGAGGCAGTCACAAAAATGCTCCCATCAAAGACAAGTGTGTGGGAGAGACAGATTCACGGCTGACTCGTAGCACGTTCCTCTCCAGCTCTTCCCAATCCCCCCAAAGTGTAGAAAACACTCTCAAAGTGTTCTGGGAAGTTGGTGTCACACAAAGTAAGATGAAGACACGGCCAGGAATGAATACAAGTGCAAAGTACGTGCAAATCAAATCAATGGCACTTAAAAAGCCCATCGCAAACCATGACTAAGTGATCCTTACGTGGGGGTGGTTAGTATATGCTAAAACTCAAATATGAAATATAAGTGGAATGAAGGATAAAAATCATATGGCCATTTCTATAGATGCAGAAGAGCCCTTGACAAAAATCCTACATCCTTTCATGATTATAAAAAATCGCAACAAACTATGTATAGAAGGGTAGCTCAGTGCAGTCGGCGGTCTGCAACAGCTCACAGTGAGAACCTCTTCTCATGAGGCAGAAGCCCTGGGCAGGCATGGACTGGTGGGCTCACACGAGGAGGGATGGAGGAGAAAGGGGCAGGCAGGGGCAGGCCCGGCGGAGCAGGCCCGGGCCATCGGGGGCAGGCAGGGCCAGGCCTGGCGGAGCAGGCCCGGGCCATCGGGGGCAGGCAGGGGCAGGCCTGGTGGAGCAGACCCGAGCCGGGATGGCCCACTGCCAGGACAGCTGTGTGAGCAGACCCGAGCCGGGATGGCCCACTGCCAGGACAGCTGTGTCACAGCCCTGCCTGGGGTCAGATTGGGGACTGCTCCTTGTTTTCATGAGACCAGTGGCTCTCGGTCTTTGACTTGTTTCTCTCTCTCTCTCTCTGCCTCTTCCTTCCTCCCCTCCTCCTCTCCTCTGTACGTGTTGTCATGGGGCACTGTCCCTGAGCTTCCATGCTCAAGGATAGTGCTTTACCACTTGAGCTACACCTCCAATTCCAGCTTTTTGATGATTAATTGGAGATAAGAATCTCATGGACGTTCTTCTCCGGGCTGC